TGGAATAACTTTTGCCTTTAAAATTGGGAGGAATTTTTCAGCAAAACTATCTGGGTCTGTTATTTCCTTTATTGGAAGATTTTACACTATAGATTTAATATCTGTAATGACTAAAGGATTATTTAGGCCCTCTGTTTTTTTCTTGAGTCTGTTTTACTAAGTTTTCACATGTATTGGATGTAACGTTGTGCATGCTATCTCTTATTGTGTTTGTCATCCCTGCTATTGTGTTTCTATTCCCTTTTCCATTTCTAATTTGTATCATTTTTTAAACAGTATTGCCAGAGGTTTCACATCTGTTAGTCTTTTCAAAGCACCAATTTCAAAGAACCAAGGAGTCTTAGCAAAATACTCCTTTTAATATATTCCTTTTCTATTTCATCAATTTCTGCTCTCATCTTTATTATTTCTTTCCTTCTCATATTTGGGTATATTCTGTTGTTCTTTTTCTGGAATCTTAATTTTGATACTTAGTTCATTATTTTTCATTCCTCTTTAACCATCTAAGTCTGTAAATTTCCCTCTAAGAACTGTTAGGTTACATTTCTACAGATTTTTATATGCAGTATTTCTGTTATAGTTTAGTTCTGAATGTTTTCTAATTTCTATTACTGTTTCATCTTCAACCATGAGTTATTTAGAAGTATTTTTTCATTTCCAAACAAAGGATCTAGCTGTCTTTTTTTGTTAATGATTCTAAAGCTTGTGGTCAGGGAACATTGTATTTGAATCATCTGAAATTTGTTGAGATATTCTTTTGAGACCAGAGATGGTCATTTTTCACATATATTTTGTGTGTGCTTGAAAAAATAAACTGTATGTTTTGTAGTTTTTGTGTTCTGATATGTCCATTACATCAAGCTTGTTAATTGTGTTTATAGATTTTATATCTTCATGGGTTGTTTTTGTCTTCTTGATCAATCAACTGCAGAGGGAAGAATCTTAAAATCTACCGCTATCATGGTAGGGTTGTTTATTACATTTTGAAGTTCTATCAATTTTTGCTTTATATATTTTGAGACTGTGTTATTAAAGCATACAAATTGAGAATTATATATCTTCCTGGTGAATTGGATTGTTTTAAAAATAATTACGTAATAGCTTTCTTTATCCATAGTAATGTTTTTGACATTGAACCTTTTATTTTCCTGGCTTTGAGTATTTTATCAGCTTCCTTTTGGTCTTTGTCTAA